AATACTTCCTAGGCATGGAAATCGCAAGGTCAAGAAAGGGAATCTCTGTCTCCCAAAGAAAATATGTCCTAGATCTCTTAAAAGAGACTGGAATGCTCAGATGCAAGCCGGCTGATACTCCTATGGATTCAACAACCAAACTAGGAACTAAGGAAAATTGTGCACCAGTGGATAAAGGCAGATATCAAAGACTAGTTGGTAAACTTATATACCTGTCTCACACCCGACCAGATATCGGTTTTTCTGTTAGCATGGTAAGTCAATTCATGAATAATCCAAATGAAGAACACATGGAGGCAGTGTATAGAATCCTAAGATACCTGAAACTAACACCAGGTAAAGGATTATTTTTTGAGAAGAATCAAAGAAGAGATATTGAAGTATTCAGTGATGCAGATTGGGCAGGATCAGTACGAGACCGAAGATCTACTTCAGGGTATTGCACATATGTGTGGGGTAACCTTGTTACATGGCGAAGTAAGAAGCAATCGATGGTGTCAAGGAGCAGTGCAGAAGCTGAATTCAGGGCAATGGCGCATGGCATTTGTGAGGGAATATGGTTACGAAGGTTGCTAAAGGAATTAAAAATTTCAGATGAAGAAACTATGAAAATTTTTTGTGATAATCAGTCAGCAATCAGCATTGTCAAGAACCCAGTACAGCATGATAGAACAAAACACGTGGAGATTGATCGACATTTCATAAAGGAGAAGATAGAGGAAGGGACAATCAAGATGATGTACGTGACCACATGTCTGCAAACAGCTGACATTCTTACTAAGGCCCTACCGAGAAAGACGTTTGATGATCTGAGTTCCAAGCTGGGGTTAATAAATATTTACCGTCCAGCTTGAGGGGGAGTGTAGAATTATTGGAAGATTTAATTAGTTTGATGATCTGTCAGCATTATTAGTGGCTAAGATTGAGAAAATCTATAGCTAATAGATCATTATTTGGTCCCACGATTTTAGGGGATTCTAGTAGTCTGTTATCAAATTTGTAGATAAGAGTTTCCTGTTTTATTGCTTTCTGTTTTAGATAAGTTTGATTCCATTCTAGGTAAGTTGTAAATATCCTTATAAATTAGATGAGTATTATCATCTATAAAAGGGTGAATGTAATCCTTTATTTGATACAGTGGAATATTAAGTTTTTCTTCCACAGCAACACCAAACCACGTAAATCTACCCGTAATACACCTATGTGGATCCCACCTAAAGCTAATGACGTCACCTCACATGCTCGGGATGACAGGCTCGATACTTTAGCTCAACTAGCAACCTTATACCAGACTCTATCCCTTGTATGCCTCGGTCCCTTATTTCCACAGTTATCTCCAAAAGGCTCATTGATGCTCTCACACCAACACAAGCTGGAAGCAGGGCCTAGGAACGCTGTCGGGATTGGGTGCTTGAGCAATACCGACCTAGTGGGCAAAACTTGGGGCTTGAGAGAGGTGTGCTCCCTCTAGGTCTCAAGTTCAATACCCACTAGCAACATTAAGCTCCTTGGAGCCATGTCCATAAGGGGCATTTGGCTTTAAATGGAGCCGCCACAAGTGGAAGGTGAGATTGGTCTCCCGGGATTAGTCGATGTTAAAATCCACCTACTCTCCACCTACTTCACCCACTTAAACCTACTCCACTAAACCTAACCCACTACACCACTACCACCTCACCTACTCCACTAAACCTAACCCACTACACCACTACCACCTCCACTTCACCTACTCCTTACCTACTACACACTCACCCTCTTCTATATATAGGAATCATGAATCATTGTAATTGAGATCAATACAACAATCAATAATACAATCATTTCTCTTTATACATTAAATTTCTACAGTCGAGGTATGCATAAATTAGCCCAACACGTAGTTAGAGTGAAGAGATGCGATATAGTGACAGTTGAAGGAAGTATTAGGAGAAGGGGAATGCCTAGATTGACATGTGCTAGTATAGTAAATAGAGATATGAATCTCCTTAATTTGACTAACCAAATGGCCTTTGATAGAGCCTAGTGGAAAAGAAGGATTCATGTAGCCGACCCCATTTAATGACACTTAAGGCTTGGTTTGGTTTGATTTATACCCCTCACATGGAACTTCCGGAGATATGTAGCTAGGTAACTAGAGTTGAGGATGTGTCAAGGCACTTCTACCACTCTCTCAAGGGATTTGCATCTTAACTGGCCATTCAGAGAGACATCCCCAAAAGACACTCACCAAATGAGGACAAAACGCATGGCATGCTCTGCACCTCATAAGGCACCTGGGTATTTTGGTTTGTAGTAGTAGTGGTGTTTACCTCCATATTGTCAGGCCATGAAGATGAAGCCACTAGTCTTCTTTTCTCCACTTGAGGAAAAAGTAGATTTTAGAGATAAAGTGTTTTTAGCAGCTGGAAAAGTGGTAAAATATGGCCCTTCGTAGTGTTTCCAAGGTGCAGCATATTTGAGAATGATAAGACAAGATTTTAGGGGTTGTTCTAAGTGCTCTGAGCAGTACCCAAGAACAATACCTGGGCTGATTTTTGTAGTTTTTTATGTTAGGTTTGAATGTTTAAGGGTGGAATGGGCTTATAATGTTAAAAAAGTGTTTTACCAATTTGGAAGGTCTAAGTATGACTTCTAGATTTCCATTGGCATCATACCTGTGGTTATAATTGCGTCACACAATTCCTGAAGAGTTTCAAAACTTTTAGCAAGTTCTCTAAACATGTTCTCTACTAAATTAGATTTTTACTCCTAATTCTATTAGGGTTTGGTCTCCCCGAACAGAAGTTTTGTCTGTTGACTTATACGACCTATTTGAACCAACTAAAATAAGTTTGTAAAGGCCCAATAAACAACTTGGCCCATGCTACAACCGCTGGGCCATCCATACAAGCCATGCCTAGTAAAATTTTAAATTACTGAAACACCTTGTTGAATAGTTAACCACCAACTCATTTAAAAGCTTAAGCTGTTAGTGAGGGGGCAATTTTATTATTTATTGTCTTCAACACATTTCTTCATGTGTGACTTATAAGTGGGCCAAACACGTGTACAATATTATATTTCTTGTAGGTGGTGAGGTTTTGAACACAAGATCTATTGTCTGATACCATGTTGAAAACTCATCAAAAAGCTTAAGGTGTTAGTGAGAGGGACAACTTTATTATTTATTATCTTCAACACACCCAACCCATAAAACTTTAAATGTACATTGAAAACTGACAAAACATAATATTTGACCAAGAAATGGATATATAGTTAGACTCTATAGAACTAAAAACTTGATAATGTAAAACTCCAACTGGTCCTGCGGTGAAATAATGCAAAATTTTAAGTTTGTTTTCTATTTGATTTTCACATTATTTAATGATTCTTCTGGAAACCATATACTACAGTGTCTATGTCAAGATGAAGAATAAGGAGCAACAGGAAGTTAGGGAGGCAGCTGCATTTGATACTAGGGAAATTAATGGAAAATGTGCTTCAATACAGCTGCATCATGACTGGTTCTGGCCTCTCTTAATTCCAAACAAGAAGAATGGACATGATGAAGACACTAGGACTAGCTATTAAGTTCGCATGCCGACTTCCCTTTCTGCTTGCCTTATGTACTATGTAATTATCTAATTGCAACATCAGTAGAAGTAGGTTAACTTCACTCTCAATTAATTGTAGGAAATGCAATTCTAACGAGATTTGTAGTGGATCACCTTTCTAATATATGTGGTGTGGCCTCATTACACAACATTGGCACATACAGTTTATGTTAAAATCCACCTACTTCACCCACTTAAACCTACTCCACTAAACCTAACCCACTACAACACTACCACCTCACCTACTCCACTAAACCTAACCCACTAAGAAAAATCACACTCAACATTATATCAATCAATAATACAATTCTCTATTTCTCTTTATACATTAAATTTCTACAGTTTAGCATATGCATTCAACTACTTCTGACATTGTTGTGTTCTATTTCCTACAACTATAAACATATCTGGTGTTTAGGTTTTAAGAACATGTTGTTTACAATGGCATTTTAAATTAGTCTACTATGTCACAAGAGGATAATTATTAGGATTTTCAAGAAATAACGTTAATTAAATTTTGAGTGCCATTTTGGTGTTTAATCCGAATTTCATAGTGGATCTATGAGCTTTTATCCTTTTTGTAAGGATTAAGAACAAAGAACCAATTTATGTTTTCCCTTTTTTTCTGTTTTCTTTTTTGTTTTTTGATTTCTTTTTCTTTTTTTCAATGTTGGTAACTTGATTTCATTATCTTGTGATGCCTCGATGCCCCTTTAATCAACCTATTATTTAGAATCTAGCCTCCAGCTTATGTAAGAGATGCTGGCTGTAGCTGCAACTTAAGTTACACAACTCAGGTTGATATCTTATCATCATATGAAGAACGTTGAAAGCTAATACTTGATCTCTGCTGATTCTGTGCATCATTTTTTTTTTTTTTTTGTGCTGCAGAATGTGCTTGCTTTTCATTTTAGCTGCCACCTGCCAATTTGAATTTATGTTGATAGAAACTTGCTTCCAGTGGAGTGCTCCTTTCCTTGTGCGTTTAAGAAGCTCGCCCCCTTTAGAAACAAAGTTCAATGCTATTGAGACATTTGCTTCTTCAACCTGTTCGTCAGTCAGGGATATACTTGTAGCTCCATACCCCTTTTCCAGCCTTGCCTTCAGTGTGGCAGCCCCTCTCCGTGATTGGGAACGCAGCATGCGCTGGTTTGGCAGTGATGATAGTGATTCTGTCTACTGGTTGCAACCATGAAACAAGAAGAGAATATTCCAAATGGATCTGGAAGCTAAGCCTGACCATTAGCATCAACATCTTGTGTCTAAAGTACACAAACTGATTTTCTCTCTTCTCTCTCTCAGCAAACCCAGCACAAATGGAGAGGGGCTACGAACCTCTCTCTCTCTCTATGCACTGACTCTCTCTTTTTTTTTCGGAAGCTTTGAGTTTTGAAAGGTAAAGACACAGGTCTTCTACTCCACTTGTCTCCCCCTGAAGAGAAGTGTTGGGGAAATAGGATTTTGTTTCCACAAATGATACATCCATACTCACATGAAATTTCTTGGTTTGAGGTTGAAGATATCTTCCATGGCCAGCTTGCTAGTCAGCTTATCAAATTGCTTCTTGTGTAGTCCCTTCGTTAGTACATCAGCTAATTGTTCACCTGTTGGAAGGTAGGTCATACAGATTATGCCAGCATTGATTTTCTCTTTGATGAAATGTTTATCCACTTCTATATGTTTTGTGCGATCATGTAGAACTGGATTATGAGCTATAGATATAGCTGCTTTGTTGTCACAATAGACCTTCATAGGTGTCGGGTGAGAAAGCTTTAATTCTTCAAGAATTCTTTTAATCCACATTACTTCACAGATTCCATGGGCAACAGCTCTGAACTCTGCTTCTGCACTACTTCTAGCTACCACATTCTGTTTTTTCCTCCGCCATGTAACTAGGTTCCCACCTACAAAGGAGCAGTATCCGGATGTTGATCTCCTGTCTGTAACACTTCCTGCCCAGTCTGCATCTGTGTATACTTCAACTTGAAGATGTCCATGTTTCTTGAACAGTAAGCCTCTCCTTGGAGTTCTTTTCAAATATCTTAAGATCTTATAAACGGCCTCAAAGTGCTCTGCCCCTGGTGAGTGCATGAACTGACTTACCATGCTGACTGCAAAGGCAATATCAGGCCGCGTATGAGACAAGTAAATCAATTTCCCGACAAGTCGCTGATATTGTTCCCTCTCTTTGACTTCTTCAGCCTTAGCAGCTTGTAACTTCAAGTTAGGCTCGATCGGAGTCTCCGCCATCTTACAACCAAGCATACCTGTTTCTCCAAGGAGATCAAGAACATATTTTCTCTGATTAACGAATATACCTTCCTTGGATCTTGCAAATTCCATTCCGAGGAAATACTTGAGGGCTCCCAGATCCTTAATGTGAAATTCTTTTGCGAGTTTCTCTTTGAGGGCTGCTAACTCTGCTTCATCATTACCAGTTAAAATGATGTCATCAACATAAACAATCAAAATTGCAATTTTACTGTTTTTTGAATGTTTATAAAATATTGTGTGATCTGCTTGACTCTGCGAGAAGCCACAACTGATAACTGCCTTCCCAAAGCGTTCAAACCACGCTCTCGGTGATTGTTTGAGTCCGTATAATGACTTGTTCAATCTGCATACTCTGTCACTTCAAAGTCTCTGCTCAAATCCCGGCGGTAGGCTCATAAACACCTCCTCTTCAAGATCACCATTGAGAAATGCATTTTTAATGTCAAGTTAATGTAGAGGCCAATCTGAATTTACTGCAAGAGATAACAGTACTCTGATGGAATTTATTTTAGCAACAGGAGCAAACGTCTCCTGATAGTCGATCCCATAAGTTTGAGTGAAGCCTTTAGCCACCAGTCTCGCCTTGTATCTCTCAACGCTTCCATCTGCGTTACATTTTATCGTAAACACCCATTTACACCCAACTGTTTTCTTGTTTTTGGGTAGATCAACTATCTCCCAAGTACCACTTCTCCTTAAAGCATTCATCTCCTCCATGACTGCTAATTTCCAATTCATCATCCAATGCTTCCTGTATATTCCTTGGAACAAACAAGTGTGAAATCCTAGATGTGAAAGCTCTATGGTTTTTAGACAGTCTTTGATAGGAGAGGTAATTTGCAATAGGATATTTAATGCAATTTCGGACACCTTTCCTAATTGCTATAGGTACATCAAAGTCGGAAATAGAAGGAATAGGATTACCTAAAATTTCGATGCCAGAACTCGGGTGGACATTCGGGTCATTAGGATGGACATTCGGGTCATTATTCCTCAAATCGCTTCCTAATATAAACCTGAAGCTCAGGATTTAGATCATTTTGTAGTACTTCTCCCCCTAAACAAGAATCTTCTTGACTAGGCACCATAGAACTTGGTTCTCCTAAGTAATCATTATCAGACAGATGTGGTTTTTGTGTAAGATAAATGACATTGGGAAGCGGGATAGAAATATCCCAAAAACGGTCTTCTACTCCACTTGTCTCCCCCTAAAGAGAAGTGTTGGGGAAATAAGATTTTGTTTCCACAAATGACACATCCATACTCACATGAAATTTCTTGGTTTGAGAATCGAAACACTTATACCCCTTTTTATTTGAGGAATAACCCAAAAAAACACATTTATAGCACGGGGGTCAAGTTTTGAGTCAGGAAATTTCTAGTAAATTGTCATTA